CTGAAGCAGTCTCTGTTTTCTTGTTCTCCCAAGCTGCTCCCGAGCTCGTACTAACACGCTGAATGGCATGCTTGAATGTTACTTGAGAATATATTTGACTGTGTTTTGACTGACGCCTCGGAGGAAGCCGATCCACGGATTAGGCCCTGGAAGCCGTTTCCTTCAATGATTATTTACCGTAAAATAATTTCCCTGCTCCACACTGCGCACACACCTTCAGCCTGATCTTCGGCGTTTAGCGTCGCCCGGTAAAATGACATGCTCTTTACTCTTTTTTTAAATTCTAAAACAAAACAAAAACAACATGCACATGAATGCATCTTTAAAGACGTAGTGAACTGCGTTCATTTCCTGGTTTGTTAGCGGCTACTGAAAAGCAAGTCTGGCCAAGTATATCTTTGACCAACAGTAGTCAATCTGAAACATGCCCAGGAAAAGTATTTGTCAGAGAGGGCTAGATTAGGTCTCAGTCACCTTAAGGCAGCATCTCTGATGTGTTACCTAGCCGTTTTACTTTCGCTTTACTTAGCGATTACACTCACTTCACTTGCCATTGTTGGCGTTCAGTGCACACCTGTGAAAAATAACCTCCATGTGAAATTTTCATGGCTTATTTTCAGATTCTCCCTCAGCATGACACAATTAAATCGTCATTTATGGCTTTCTTCACACAATGAATGGACATATACCTCTTCAAAAAGGCTATCAATCAGACTACATTAGCTGCTGTTTTATTCTAAGAAAAAAACAAATAAACTCCACATTTAACCTTTTGTGCAGATCTGAAATGCGAATTCTATTTTATTGTTATTTTATGGTAAAAATTTGTAATGTAAGCCTCATCGGTGTTAGCTTTTTTTCTCATTTTTTTTTCTGAAAGCCTGGCATTAAAGCCCCAAACGGCTGCAGCTATAGTTCTGCAAAATTATGAAGTGAAACGAGTTTGGCTGGAAATCTCATCATTTACGTGAAGTGCATGCGTGCATGAAGGATTTGTCCTCTCATAAGATTGCACAAACCCAGAGGTGTACTCGCACCTGTCTGCTTGTTTAACCCTCAGCTCTCGTTCCTGGCAAAAATGGCTCATCTCACAGAACTTTGCAAGTACGTGGACGACCACCAGGACCTGTATGTGCAGGTAAGATCACTCAGGAAAAACAATAAATTGCAGCTGTTTAATTATTGCGTTTTTTGTATGATTGTCACTTGATTTAATGGCTTATTGAGCTAACTAAAAACAGGACAGATTTGCAACTTATTCACTTAAACTTGGATTATAGTAGGTGCCAACTGTAAAACCAGTTTTCCTGATAAGATTCAGTAATACTGTAACTGCTGCTTGAATCAAATCTTTGTGGGTCTAATGTCCTAAGAGTCACTCACATTGGCTCATTCTTTTGCAATCAGTAACTTCATGAAATAGTAAAAAGGATTTTAATGTCTTTAAATCACTTATTTATAATTTACCTCAGCGCCTGGCTGAGTGGGTGGGTGTCCAGAGTGTGTCTGCTTGGCCTGAGAAGCGCGGGGAGATCAAAAAAATGATGGAGATGGCAGCCAAGGACATCGAGAGGCTGGGAGGGACTGTGGAGTTGGTGGACGTTGGCAAGCAGAAGGTCTTGCACTG